AAAACAAAAAACAAAAAACAAAAAAACGGGGTAGTGGGGAAGGAAATGCACGGGATTTTGGTGATGGCACATGGGTGACATGGTGATGGGAAACCTGTGGGGATTACAATTGAGATGGAAAAAAAATGTACAAAATGATGTAAAAATAAACTGTTATAAAATAAAAAAAGATGGAGGTAGATATATACAGAATACAGATTTGTCTCTCTAGCTGTGTATCTATCTATTTATCTAATCTATCTCCACTTTATATTGGTACATACAGTAGTTTGGATTTTATTATTACATCTATAACACACACATATCTGTATCTCTCTCTCTCCTTTTAAAAAAAGATTTATTTATGCATACAAGAACTGGAGTACAGGCCAGAGGTTTGGGTGGAGGGTGGGGGGGTGAGAGAATTCACCAGAGACAGAGAAGGGAGCAGAACAGGAAGATTGACTGAAATACACTGCTGAGGGGAGCAGTGGGAAGGTCAGGAGAGATCTGCTGGGCCATGTGGGTCACCTCCCTGGATAGGAATTGAACTCGTACTGCAGTAGCTGAGGACAAACTCACAATGCTGTGCCCTAACCCACTGCGCCACCAGGGAGGACCCACATATCTGTATTGCTCTATACACACAATGGAATATTATTCAGCCAAGGAAAAGAAGGAAGTCCTGCCATTTGTGCTAACATGGATGGATCTTGAGGACATTATGCTAAGTGAAATAAGTCAGACAGAGAAAGACATACACTGTATAGTGTGTGGAATATAACAAAGCTAAACTCACAGAAACAAAGTAGAATGGTAGTTATCAAGGCTGGGAGTAGGGAAATGGGGAGATGTTGGTCAAAGAATATAAACTTCCAGTTATAAGATGAATAAGTTCTGGGATCTAATGTCCATCATGGTGATTACAATTAACAATACTATATTATAGCTGGAAAGTAGATATTAAATGTTCTACTACAAAAAAGAAATGGTAATTATGTGATGTCTTGGAGGTGTTAGCTGATGCTATGCTGATCATCATTTTCTAATATTTAAATGTATCAAGTCAATAGTTGTATACATTAAACTTATACAATGTCATATGTCAGTTACAACTCAATAAGCTGGAGGAAAAAGAAAAGTGTTACATATGTAAAAACTTTTTTCTTCCATTTTATTTAGATACACATTTTCTGGCCTTGTAGATACCAGGGATAGGTAAACATGACTGTATAAACATATGCATATGTATAACTAAGAGAAAAGATTTGGGGAAACATGATATATCTCAAATACTTGAAGGGCTGTTATATAGAAGAAGGTTATACTTGTTCTGTGTAAGTACTGGCTAGAAGTAGGACCAGGGTGAAATAGGTGGAAGTCTCAGAGACACACTTCAGTTTATCTTTAGGAACTACTCTTAACAATTTGAGTTCTTCAAAAACAAATGGGTGCCTCATGAAGAGACTGTATAGGGGGTTTCATTAGCCCCCAGTGATCATTAAGGTTCTTTTCAATCCTATGATACCCAGCCACATGTCAATATTAAACATATCAATATTTATGGGAATGCAAAAAAGACAGTTGAATTTTATAGGCAAAGATTTTTTTTAGCAAGGATGCTTTAGGTATTTTTTATTAGGTATTTTTTTTATTAGGTATTTTTTTTAGCAAGGATGCTTTAGGTATTGATGGATTAGAGCCCAGGGAAACTGTTAGGTCTCTATTGAAGTGTATGAGATTCTTTTAAGAAGGAGGTAGGATTTGAGTTAGAATGCTGAATATTGTCAGGGGAGTAACTTGGGAGCCATATTGGGGAGAATATGTATTTAAAAAGTCATAGCTAACAAGGACAGCCAGAAATAGATTAACTGGATAAAACAGACATGCCTGCTATAGCAGGGATGGGGGTCTGAGAACAGGAACTGATGCTATAGCTAGGCAGTTATAATCCATGGTGTCCTGGGAAATAATTCTGAAACATTAGATGAACATTTTAGACTTTGTTCATAATGAAGGAGAGGGGACAAGCAAGTAAAGCCATGAGAGGAAGAAATATGTTTGTTTTAGTGAATTTCTTGGTGCTAATTAAAGGTGAGGAGCCTAGAAAGCAAAGGTTCTGATCTGGAAAAATGAAGACGATGCCTGTCTTTCCTGTGCCTTATTGTTAGTGATGTGTCTGATTTTTCATGCCAGTTCCAGGCTATTGCTTGGTTGAGGCTGTCTTGAGCTATGTTGCAACCATCGCTGCTACATTTTTTCACCTGATTTCTGTTAATAAGCCTGATTTCTGTTCTGAGCCTGAAGCTCACAGCTGCCCTTGATTCAGTTTGAGATGGTACCACTTGAGATGGTTTTAAATGGTTAGATGTAATTATCTGATAAGTCACTTTGGCTTGGCTATCTAGAGGTGAAACAGTTTCCTACACCTACTAGATTTCCCAATTTTGAAAGTTCCCATTTCACTTTGAAAGTGAAAGAATGGAAAACCTTACAAGATGATGCATGTTTCCACTTATAGGATATTTGCTTTAATCTACATGGATCTTAACAATCAATGGTAGAAGAATTTTCATATGCAAAACAAAATTATTACATAATACTTTACATGTGCAAGTAACAGGTGATAACGAGGCAGGAATGAGAAAACAGTAGATATAATTCCAAAGTTTTTATTGGTTGATGCTTTTGCTTTTTGTTAAATGTAGGTGGGTGAGTGGAGAAGAGCTTACCCAAATAAACATTGCAGAATTTCTTCCATGATCTAAGACTATACTACTTGAAGAACTTAGATTTGGAAAGGTAAGGAACTTGTGAGAACATTACACTTTTGTACTAATGTGAGTGCAGTATGTCACTTATATGCCAAATAACTGTTTTAGCATTTTAACAAACATATTACCTACTTTAGTTCCCACAAAGTCTTATAAGGCAGGCAGTAATGTTATCATCATTACTTTGCAGATAAGAAATGGAGGCCCAAAATGTTTAAGTATTTTTGTCCAAGAGAAAATGGGTAATAAGTATGAAAGCCCAGTTTTGAACCCAATCAATCTAGCATGAGTTGCCGTCTTAATCACTGAACCACACTTTGCACATCAACTATATAAGTTCCCTGAATTAACAGAGAAACTAGATCATTATCCCCAAATAAAAATTCTCCTAGGTAATTAAAAATCAACAAACACTGTTTCTATAACTATCTTTATGCTTTGTGAATAATATTTTTCAATAGTTGTCAACAGTTTGAGAATTAAAAGAGTGGAAAACAAGTTTTTTAAATACAGGAATGCTTTGATCCAAATGGACAATTTGTATTCAATTCAGTGCTGAAGTAGAGTTTTGGTTCCCATTTGGGAGACAGTTTCAATTATTTCTGGCCACACTCTGGATGTCAATGGAACAAGTTTATAATGTTTTTATATTAAAGAGAATCTGTCAGTTTGGTTCTATGAAAGGCAGGTAAAAGTAATATAGATCCCTTTTCTCCCTAATCCACCATCCTGTGGTGGTTTTGTTACTTACAAGGGTTTCCATCCTCTTAGTTTAATTTAAAGCAAATTTTTGGTGTGGTATCTGCAATAACTAATACTTTTAATAAAGGCAATAGGGAAGGTACAGAATTAGGAGGATAATAGCTACCAAGTTCTTTAAAAATTAAAAATAACTGGATCAATATTAAGATGCAAGAATGTGAAGAGGGGAAATGATGAATATTTATACATATAAAATGCATGTGTGTACATGTTTAGAAAATATTATTCTTCTGCTTGAGTCACTTTCTTCAGATAATACAAGTTAAAGAGTGAAGTTCTGACTCAGACACAGGGTCAAGGATATTTTTTCCTCCTTTGTCATCAAAAGAAGGCTTTGCCACATGCACAATATAGAAAGATTGTCAGTGTGAAGATTAGCTTTACTGCCAAGCATCACTGGTAACAGAAACACATGTGGTTAGATGGTGAAGGAATTTATGGTAATATGAGCAATGGGATCACAACTGCTTTACCATTGAGACTATAGAATGCAGACAACCAAAATGAGTGCAGCTGATCATCACGAAATGATTTTAAAAAAATTACGATGACAAAATAACGCACCTTTTTACTACCTTCAAGTAATTTTGTATAATTTTGATTTTGACTCTAGGCCTGCTGCTGACAAGGGCTTATCCTGGGCCTTTTAAGAATCCTCACCTGTGTGGCAAGGACCAAAAATCTGTGATTTTTCTGTCCCAATTGTGCTTACTAAACTGCTGTGCACCTGGGGCTTGACAGGTGGAGGTGGGACAGGGAAGGCTGTAAACCGACCATCCCCCAAAGGCTGTAACTCGTAGAGGCGAACGTGGGAGGGTCTGCTAGGGCGTATTCCAGTGTGGGAGACCGAGGCTCGTGGAAGTAACAGCGAGGCCCAAGAAGCTGTGGAGGTGCGGGCGAGGTGGGCGCTGGGGGACACACCCCAAGAGGAGGCGCGGCGGTGGGGGCCGTGGGCGGGGCGAGGCCGGCGCGGGGCGGGGCCTCCGGGAAACCCGCCCCCTGAGTAGCGGAGGTGACTAGTTGGGCTGGGGGCGGGAGACGCTCTGCCCCACGCTCTCCCAGGGCTCGGTGGTTTAAAGATGGCGGCGGCAGCGGCGGCAGCAGCGTTGGGGGCGCGGAGCCGCGGGAGGGGGAGGGAAAAGGAGGATCTGTGAGTCGCTGAGCGGCAGCGCGGCGGCTGCTCTGAGGAGTCCGGGTGCGGAGTCGTCGGACCAGGGCCTGGACTAGAAGGAAAGGCCGGAGCAGCGCCAGGAGCCCGAGGCCGGAGTCGAGGAGGAATGTGACCGGGGGTCGGCGGGGGCGCGGGAGTACGCGAGCGCAGGGATGGGGCAGCAGGTGGGCCGCGTCGGGGAGGCTCCAGGGCTACAGCAGCCGCAACCCCGCGGGATCCGGGGCACCAGTGCAGCCAGGCCCTCCGGCCGCAGGCGGGACCTGGCTGGGCGCTCCACAGAGGCCGGCTTCAATATCTTCACCCAGCATGGTGAGTGTGACCAGGAGCCCGCGTGAGGGCGTGGGGGAGGCCGGGAGAGGGCACGGGGCAGGGTGGGAGTCAGACTGGCAGCCTAGGGGTTCGAGAGGTGGTGCGGTGCCCGGGAGTGGGCGCGGAATCTGCTGCCATCTGGGCCAGTCACGGGAGGCGAGTCACACCCCTCCCCCCTCTCGTCTCCAGCCCGGCTGGCAGCTCTCGGGGGCGGAGAGAGAAGTGGTCTTAGGTGCGGTGGAAGGATTGTCCTCTACCCTGGGACGCGACACGGTGTATCTCGAAGGAAGGCGGTGGGTAGTATCCTTGGGTGGGGGCGGGAGGGGATGAAGCGAGGTGTGAGCGGAATCCAGGTGGTGGTGGTAGAAATCAGTCGCTAGCGGAGGGAACTTGAGTTGTGCCTACAGAGATTGGGAAATAGGGGCTGAATCTCATGAAGCAGGGGCTTCTGAAATGTGGATGAAAATAAGAGACCAGCAGTTTCAGGAGAGTGACTTGTGAACGGTGCCTTTCTAGGGAAAAGCTGAGGGTAGGTATCTTAGCACTTAAAAATTTTTTTTTTCCATATTGGAAATAGCTTTGCCAGACTAACTTCTTTTTGCATAGGTCACAATTCTGAGACTATCTAATAGGATTTAGAGATTGAATGGTTAAGACTTTGGTCTGGACCTGAGCAAGTATTTTTCTTTCTGCCGTGTGTGTATGGTACATACAGGTTTGTATATCTGCTATGTAGTCTGGAACTATTACTTTACCCTCCTTATCAACATTTTTAGAATAGTTTTCCCCAGATTCTCTTGATCATCCACTCTTATTTTTAAATACTTTAAGAATTTCTGTATCTATTAATTATTTACATGCACTACTGTGCTAGTATGTTATATAACATTCACATGCACAGAGTTTTAAAAAGGATAAGATGAAAAAATAAGAACAAGTTCTAGTATTTTTCCCCCCTGCAGTCCAGTGGATTCTTTTGCACTTCTTTTGTGAGGTGCTTTTGAGACCACTTCACTAAAGGAAGGAAGATTGGAGAGAGGAAACATGAAATTGACCTTCATGGGGTGGGGATACGCTGAGAGGGGATGAAAAAAAAAAATGACTTCTCTGTAAAGTCTGGATGGTTGAGTTTAGATGAGAGGTAGCAAACCAAGTTTGAAGTGGCATATGGAAAACAATAAAGGAAAAAGAGGGTGTTATATATACCACACAATTTAGGAGGAAGAAAAAGAAGTGTGAACTGTTAGAAATGGAGTTTTGGCGGAAGTAATGATAAATGGCAGATTGGAAAGAGATGAACCTGATGAGCTATGGTTATTAAATGATCAGTGGTATCAGAGTTCTGTTTGAACTTTGAGAATAAGCTGAGATGTTTAATAATGGAGGAGATATGGGTGATTTGGAAGCTTTTCATATCATTCAAACTTTACAGTCTATTAAAGATGTGAATGGACTTCTCTTCCAGGTATGTGAACATTTTTTGAAGGTGCTGTGTGAGTTAGTTTTACATGCAATAGTTCCTAAAATACAGGAGGAAAGAGTGGATGAATAATCAGGGAAGAAATCATCCCTGTAACTTTGGTGTGATGGCAATGTTAACATGCATTAAACTTGGTGCTGTAGACACTGGTAAGCCTTGGCTATCTTCAGGACATGAGATTTTCAGAGGAGGAGGTCATGCAGAATGGAATAGGAAAAGTTTTGATGGATAGATAGTATTTGGGTTTATGGCGCAAGGGAAGAGGGCAGACTGGGCAGGAGAAAACTTGAGCATGAACAATGAACATTCTGATAATTTACTGAAGTGATAGTGGAGAGACATCTTCAGGAGTGAAGCACATTCCCTAGTATTGAGTCCTGAAGCAAAAATGGTCATTAGAGTCAATTTTTGGTCCTGTCTCTATCTGACCTGCTGACACTCTTTGTGTTTCTTTATCTGTAAAATGGGGAGGCTGGACTGGATGATCTTTAAAGGGCACCTTTAGGATCTGAGATTTTATGATTCTAAATGAGTAGTAGTGGGGAGAGAATAACATTGACTATATTGGATGTGGCTGAGTTATGGAATATCTGGCAGAGGAGTCTCTAAAATCAGCTTACTTGATAGTTGTTTTTAGGACACATTAATGGACCCTAGTATGAAATACTGAAAGACTAACCTTGAGCGGTGGAGGCAGTGGAAATGGAAAGGAAGGTTAAGTTGGAGGGATGTTATACTCGTTCAGCTGCCAGAAGTTTTTTGAGCTCTATCTATTGGGATCTGTGCAAGTTGTTGTGAATACGCATAACTGAGTCTCTCTCCTTGGAGAATTTAAGGGGTTTAGTATTCTATAAAGAGGTTGAAAGAATAGAGAGTAACTTTGGTATACTTAATATAGACAGGAACTCTAGAGCCATTTTGCTTGGGTTTGAACCCTGGCTCAGCTTATTATCTGTGTGATTTTGGGCAAGTTATTTGTAAATTGGGGGTGATCCTATCTAGCTAATAATAGTACCTACTACCTAGATTTTTACCAAGGACTAATATGAAAAGAAAGGGATTAGCAAATAAGAAAGGTGACATGAATACTGTTTGTAGACAAATGGGTGTTTAGAAACTTTTGCTGATTAGAAGTTCTCAACCTTTTCAGTATTGACTTTAGGGGCTGGATAATTTCTTGAGTGTGGGGGATTGTTCCTGTGATTTAATGGGATGTCTCAGCATTCCTGGCCTGTACTCATTTGATGCTAGTAGCACTCCTTTCCACACCCACAGTGTGACAAGCAGAAATGTTTCTGCTAAATCTCTCCTGGGAGGGGTAAAATTGCGTAGAGAGCCATGGTAAATTCTGAATTGAGTAAATAAGTAAATTAGATTCAGATATTACTTAGTAGAACTATCATTTCACATTTACACACACAAAATCTAGATCTTGAACTATTGTAAAAATCACTGACAAGTATCAATGGCAGGTGTTTTCAACTTAAGATAATACATTTCATGTATGAAAGTGAGGACTACAAGCTGGGTTTAATTAGGTTAAAATATATTTATTGTATGTATGTATTGTATGTAATTAGTACAGATGTGTGTACATGTAGAAATGGTTATCATTCTTCTTTAGAAAGAAGCAATAGTATTTTCTCATTGAAAATGAGAATTTTTTTCATTGTTACTATGTCAGTAAGCTGTTATAATAATTTGTCTTGCCAAAAGTGATTTTTGTGAATGCATTTGAGAAGGAATAAATATAATGGGGCTCATTTGGTATGAAAAGGTAAGTACTATCCGACTTTTGAATTCTGCTTTGAACCCTTTTGGTGACCTGAGGTTTGTGACTAGTACTCTAGGGTTGAATACTTACTTGTCTTTTTAATATCTGGTATACCTCATCACAATTGAGTGATTTCACTTTATTAACTTCCTTCTCTCACACATGTGCTGAAAATACTATTAAAAATTAACCTTAAATTATGAAGTTCCCGCCTCTCCTTTTACTTTTATTTCCATTTATTTTATACTGAACTTATTCCTGGGACATAAGTTTTTGTTTTCTTAGTTACTTCTGGGCTGTCATTTCCTTCTCTGCAACTTTCTCTTCTGGTTTAGGAATAACTTGCTCTTTTTCAGTAAGGATTATCTCTATAGAAGGGAGAGCTCATAAAGGGGTTAATCTGACCAGGAGCTCTGTAAATCTGCTTTGTTCACTTGAATTTACTCCTTGCTGAGAAAATCTATACCTCAACCTTGAAGTTCGGTGTTACTCTCTGCCTTTTTAAGCATGTGCAGTAAATACTCAGAACTCTTTGGGCACTAGCCCTGCATCCAGTCCCACTGTTTGGCATGGATACACACCTACTATCTGCTCCATAGAAACAACGGAATGGTATGCATTGCTTTTGTAGAGTGACACCCTTCAGGGACTTGGTGGCTTTTTGGATATGCATACTTTGATGGCCTGGGCAGTGTTACAAGTGTTCTTAAAAGGAACACAAAGATTTGAGCCTCTTGAGTTGCAGGATTCTTTGGGTTTCTTTGGTCCAGTGAGTAACAGACCATTTTTAGAGATTACATAAAGCTGCTGATGGGAAGAGAAAAACGAATAATAAAAATTTTCCCTTAAATCAAACTTAACCACTTTCAGTAGTTTGATTTATTTTGATTTATAGTTCATGTTTTGATCTTTCAAAGATGTAGACACTCTAGGTTGAAATTGATACCATAGAAAAGAACAGGAAGCTGTTGCAAGGAACTTTTAATTAGTTTTACCTGTTAAGGAGAAGGATGTCCTAAAGGAACTGCAGAGTTCCAGTGATTGGAAAACTACAACTCCCAGCAGAACCAAGGAGAGAACTGCGGGAACCTAAGGGCGGAGCTAAGCAGGCATTCTGGGACTTTGGGGGATAAATAGAGAGTGGTTTTCCAACTGTGGCTCTAGAGAGGTAACCTTTCACTCTCTCTGGAGCAAGTGCTCTCAGACTGTTAGTATTAGTTTGTGACTAGAGCTCCAAGTTAGCAGAGCTGGTAAGATATTCCAGTTACTTTGTACCCCTCTCTCTTTCCCTAGGTTGTTTTTTTCCTTTCCCCTTTTGTAAATAAACCTATTACCCTTTTGTGTGTGTCTGCAGAAAATTAAATTTTAAGTGTGTGGGTGAGGACCCACAGACAGGCAGCCCAAGTTCACTCTGGGCTACCCTGTAACAATCCTTAACTAGTATGGTTGTCATTGATTCTTATGAGAACTAAACTTTGTAAAAAGAAATTAGCTGTTAGATTTTCTATTAATCTCCAGATCTGCATAAATTACAGATATTCATCTGTAATTTAAAGCACCAGAATAGGGCTTGGCCTCCCTGGTGGCCTATGGGTTAAGTTCTCAGTGTTATCACTGCAGTAGACTGAGTTTCATCTCTGGTTTTGTAGCTGACCCACATGCAATTCAGCAGACCTCTCCTGTCTCATCAGAGACAGTGGGGAGGAGAGCAGGTGGATTTACTGCAATATACCTAAGGGAAGCAGT